AAAGTGAAAAAAATTGTTGAATTTAAAAAACAAGTATGTGGGGATACCAATAAAGGATTTGTTGTCATTAATCAAAAAGGAATTGATCCCTTGTCATTGGATTTTCTCTGTAAAAATGGAATTCTTGCATTGAGACATGCCAAGTGAAGAAATATGGAAAGGTGATTTATTGTATTATGTATTTCCTTTATTTATTTTATTTTTTTTGACGCAAAATTATTTTTTTAGATTATAACTTATTTGTGAAGGAGTTGCACAAAATTTCGTGAACAATTTGTCTCCAGAAGTTCTCAGATATGCAAAACTTATTTATGAGCACACTCTTGGAGAAAAAAAATATACCTTTGTTGAAGAGGTTAAAAATCCAAAATCTATTACGATATTGGTTAAAGGAACTAATTTTCACACAATTGAGTAGATTAATGATACCATCTGTAATGGATTACGAGCCATAAAGAATGCAATTAAAGATAAATGTATAGTACTAGGAGCAGGAGCATTTCAAGTTAGGCTTTCAGCTCACTTGAATAAATTTAAAAGTTCAATTAAGGGAGGACCAAGATGAAAATTCAAGTATTTGCAGACGCAATGTTGATAATTCCTAAAGTTTTATCACAAAATGGGGATTCGATGCTCAGATACTATTATTACTTTATAGGTGAGTTTAATCATCATTATTTAAAGAACGTTTTAATTTAGAATTTTATACACGCGAAAGGATCAAAACATATTATTGTATTATACTATTACGTAAACAAATATTTGATCAATGAGACTTTTTTTTAATAGGAGGAATTTGTAGCAGAACATATTGTAGGAGTTGATTTAATACAGAAAACACACTTGACTCTATCGTGAATGGTATTTAGGATAATTATCGTATCATTCATTATATGTTGCATTCTTGGCAATATTATTAATGTTATTGCATTCCATTCACAAGTAAACTTTCAAAAAGCTTAACCTTTTGCAAGATATTTAAGTTTTTTTTCATTTAATGTTTCTTCTATCCTTAGTGTTTTCTTGTGTACACTTTGTCGCTGATACTGCAACAGTAAAATAACAGCATTTCGTTTACCAGGTGGTATGCGACTTTCTGATGTCTCAAATATTATAGATTTCACTACCACTATCATCACCACCTCTACTACTTGATCTCTAATGTCAAGTAAAAAGAGAACCTTGAGTGGTAGAAGTGACTCCTCAGCTCCTTTCTAACCTATGAACTCAGCTTAGGTGTTAACTTCAAATGACTGGAACTTAAGATCTTATTAAAATAGACAAGTCACGAAATAGTCTCAAAAATTGTGGTTACTCATTATAACTGACTCTACCACTTTGCCTTTGACCTCATCCAGTACATATTCTACTTCCATACTATAAAATAGTTCTCTTTGATGATGTGACCTCTAATGAACATGAACTTTTTCAAGATATTCTTACAATCAACACAGTCTTTATCTGTCAAATGCAAGGAAAAAAAGCTGTTATTCACTAACGAAAATACCAGGTTAGAAAAAAATTGCAAGACAAAGATCAGGACAATATCAGTGCGTAACAAGTGATAATACTTGAAAACTACTCTCAATCGTATACTGCTAATCAAAGTGTATCCAAATTACCCTCAAAAGCAGCTACTGAAATGTTAGATGGGCTTGATGAGATATGCTTATAATGCAGTTATTCATTAGAATCGATACCTTTGTTTATATACCAAGAATTCATATATTGGTCTATGCAACGAGTTTGGGTAAAACCTCAATCCATTGAAGATAAACTTAAACTTTATGCAGATGTTTGTGTAGGAAAAGACGTTAATGAACATAAAGATAAGAAACTTTAAAAATCATGTGTATGGGGTGAACGCAAATTCGTATGAACTATTATGCGTATTGGAATGCTACTTCAAGGTATACATAAAAAAGCACCTGCAAATGTTATTGATGAAGCAATTGATGAAGCATTGACTGCTAGGTATGATTATTATTTTTTATTTTTTTTTATTTAAAAATTTTATTTATTTTTTAATTTTTTTTTTGATTTTTTAATTACTTTAGGGATAAGATAATTAACCATAATATAGGATCAAACATGAAACAACAAGGTTCATCTTTATCATTTTGATCTTGAAAAGATTTATGACAAACAATAACAATTCGTTTACAAAATTTTTCAAAATCCATGTGGAACCGTTTTATGTCACCTATCTTCACAATCTATCAATGCTTTTCACACATCGTCATAAGCCTGTTGTTACTCTGGATCATAATAAATGTAATTTGTAGCCTCTTCATTTTAAAATAAAGACGTAATAATAAGTGGCCTGTTTCTCACAAGATAACATCTGATTGTAAAATCACATATATTTGTAAAACTAATGAATGGAAATTTTCATGGGTTTATGAGATGCAAAAAAGCTCCATAAAACCCAAGCGGATGGTTCTATTCATGCAGTCTCCATTGATCCTGGTGTTTGTACACCCTTCACATGATACTCTCCTACTAAAGGTGTAGATAAAATTGGCTAATATGACATTGGACAAATTATTCATTTATGCAAATATATGGATAAACTTCATTCTCTAAGAGACAAGCTGGCTTCCTCTAATTCAAAACGTAAAAATAAAAGTCCTTGCGACTTGATAATGCAATTTCTCAGATTATACGAAAAATCAAACATCTGCAAAGTGAAATCCATAAAAAGAGTGTTACATTTTTTACTCGCGAATTTGATGCCATTATCATTTCTCCTTTTGAGGTATCAAATATGATAAATCGAAAAACAAGAAATATAACACGAAAAACTATTCGTAAAATGCTCTTTTGGGCTCACTATAAATTTTGCCAACGTCTGGTAGCTAAAGCTGAAGAATTAGGGGTCCATGTTATTATCCAAAATGAGACCTATACTTCAAAAACCTGTAGCTGGTGTGGGAGTTTTCAAAAAATAGGAGGATCTGAGATGTACAAGTGCCAAAGTTGTGGAGCTGTAATGGATCGAGATGAAAATGGTGCTTGGGGAATTTTTCTCCTGGCTTTGCTTGATGGTGCCTTGATTCTCTCCAGAGATCATGCAGGAAATAATAGTAATACCTATTATTAATGTATTACAATCCATCCGGATTTGAAGCTTCGGAATTAATTCTGTCCAAACGATAGAAATGTTATTATCCACACAAAATAAAAATTCTTCAAGTTAGTCAGTTAATATATATACCTAAAGTTAAATTCATCATATGAGGACTAAGCTATTAAAATCACCTTTCGGGACCCCACCAACTAAAATTGAGATTTTTGATTCATATTATTATATGATATAT